ATGTGCTGGATGCATGCTGCGCATGCATGCACAGTTCAATTAAAATTGTTCTGCGCATGTGCAGAATTCAAAAACAAGATGGAGAACTAATTCAGGGGCATGGCAGGCCTGGGTCACTGCTGGTTCCAATGACCCAGGCCACCATACCACTTACTGGTTTGGTCGAACCGGGCCGAACCGATAGGAACCCACCCCAAAGAGCTCTTTTTGTACTGAGACTCTCATCAAATCCCATGAACCCATAGGCCACCTCTGTTCTCAATAGTATTCACTTTTTTGACCTTGATTTCTTTTTCGAGACCCTATTTACAATCCTATGAATGCTAAACCAAAATGCTATCTCCATTGAATAGGTCCAAAACTTCTAAGACAAAGTGCCTTTTGATGTATTATACCTCAATACACAGAGGCTGAAAATCTACATCTTCTGGGGTATCCAGTGTACCTAAAAATAATTTCATTTTAAGATAACAGAATACTAATTTAACATTTTTTTTAGGTTCTAACCCATTGATTTATTAAAACAAGACATTATGGCTCATTATTCTAAATTACCTGCAAATTAACCATTATCTATCTTAATACAACTTTTCAACTGCAAATAAAAATTAACTGTAGATTTAAAACTTCAAAGACTTTTTAAAAACATGAATAATTACACAGGAAGCTAATGAATCAGCTCAATTGTACATTCAGAAAATATAATTGATTAAGAATGAGATGATTTAAAGTATAATTGTCTTTTTGCCCATTAACTAAAAAAATGTTTGCCATTATATTGATCCTCAAATGTTGCAGCTGAAAATAATGGATCTGTTGTGTCAAAGAGTACATTTTTCTCCGTTTTGAATCTGCTACCAAATTATTAATTTTGTTTGCCTGATATAGGGTTTGGGTAAAAAAATGTTATTTTTCCCATTTTTATTTCAACTTAATATTTTTATCCTAGTTAATCTGGATTGAATAATCATTCAATCCAGATTAACTAGGATAAAAATATTAAGTTGAAATTGAATAATCATTCAATCCATTAAAAGTTTAGCCAACTACTAAATTATAATTTAAAATGTTCATATTAACAAAATCAAAGTATGTGTTTGAGAGATACTGAGCTTGTCAATCAGAAAGGTCAGCAGTTCAGCAGTTCGAATCCCTAGCACCATGTAACGGAGTGACCTCCTGTTACTTGTCCCAGCTTCTGCCAACCTAGCAGTTCGAAATCATGTAAAAATGCAAGTAGAAAAATAGGGGCCACCTTTGGTGGGAAGGTGACAGCGTTCCATGAGCCTTCGGCATTTAGTCATGCCGGCCAGATGATCACATCTTCGGACAGCACTGGCTCTTTAGCTTTGAAACGGAGATGAGCACGGCCCCATAGAGTCGGGAACTACTAGCACATATGTGTGAGAACAATCTTTACCTTTACCTTATAGTCTGCTACCACTGATTAAGTTGGTTCACTCATACCTACTCATGTGTCATGTACTAAACAATTTTTACATTTCCAGATTTAAATTTGTGACATCTGCAGTACTACCCTTCTAGGTAAGGACAGTTTTTCCACTGACCACATTGAAATTGGTAAATTTGACATTCCTGATAGGACGGTGGCTGTTAGGCTCTATCTAAATTTGAAAGTATGACATTCCTAGCAGAGTGATACATGTGTGAACAGTTATGTAAATATATCTGTGTAATATGTTCATAGCAGAACTTGAGTCTTGGGGATTCAGAGCTTATTGTATTAGAAACATCACAAAAAAACTACAATTCAAAATTATAAAAGTGAGATTAAATCAGAATCATAAAAATATTGTGACAAGGATTATTATGATCATGCTTAATAAAATTATTAAGAATCCAAACTTGCAAGTAAGTTAGATTTGGAAGCAAGCTTAATGACTTTTGATTTCTCTTAGCCTAACTTGCTTCAGGCTCTGCAACACACTGGGTGAAAAAACAAAACCATTTGTTGCTTCCTGCTTTGACAGTTTTGCTGTGAAAACCAGGCAAATTCTATGCAAAACAAAACAAAGGATCACCTAATGAAGCAGGAGAAATTCTAAGAACAATTGCACTAAGATAAAAGTGCATATAAAATACTGCTGCTATACAGCAGTATATTATATACTACTACATTATAGTGGTATATAGTATACCACTATAATTTTTAAGACAACACTTTGTGTTTTGTTAAAATAGAGGGTATACTTTAATTAGTATCAGATTATTAATATTATTATTTGGTCAAGAGATGGCCTTGAAGGAAATATTTCAAAGACATTACATAAGGGGGGGGGTTCTTGAGCCCTGGAAAAGGAGATTGGGGGGAGACTAGCTGGGGTATAAGAAGGAGGAGGAGGAAAAACAGAGTCAAATTTGCAAGATTCTGTTACTATCTCAATAAAACTTCTTGTTGAGTCTGTTTTCTGATTAGGATATCCTTGAAATCTTGAAAATTATGTAATAGGAAAAAAATGAAGGTTTTTATAATCATAAGATTACAAAATAAGAATAAGAGATAATTTTGTAAACATAATATTTGCTGCAAAGGAAATCAAAAGCTTCTTTCTATTTACCTTTTCTTGCAGCATTTTTTTGTCTTTCTCCTTACATTTCCCCTTTTCTTTGTTTTCTTTATTCTGTATTAGTTTGTGTTTTAATGTTCTCTTTAAAATTTGTAATAAAATTTATTTTAAAATGGACATTTCTAAATATGTGAAGTTCAAATATAATTTCACAAAACGTTCAAAATGATAGTATCTTCAATTAATTCTTTTTAACTGTAACTCTTAAGTCCAAAATTATGGTTGTGAATCAGTTGGACACCTTTGCATGTATTTAGGAATATATTGGTGAGTTAGCTTAGAATCATTGAATCTAAAAGGTAAGGGTCCTTTTAGCACAGTGCAGTAATCCAAATCAAAATGTTCCAAACAGATAGTATGAAGTATTTAAAAGTAACCAAAAGTGATTATTTCCAAAACTCTAATAGAGTTCTCTTTATCAAGATTTATTAAGCTGAAATGAATAACTGTATAAAAATTCTAGCAAGCGAACTATTTTCAGTTTAGATCTAATATTTTGGTATACAAGGCAGCCTTTCTCACAGCCTTTTTCATTATAAACCATTCAAAGTAACTTAGGCGGTATGAGCAGTGTAGAAATGAATGGATGAATGCACGAATGAATGGTACACTGGAAAAGAAGAGACTGAGTTCGTTACATAATGATTATCTGAAAAACAACTTTCCTTTCAGTTTCAGACCCTATATTTTTTTCTTTCCCCTTCTTGGGAAACCTCTTGTTGAACATAAATCTCCCATTCCTGGCCTTTTGAATTGTATCCAAAATCTATTGACAACTAATGTGGAATATACAACAGAGATGATAATTTGTTGTAGTTTCTCTCATTTATCAGTAGGCAGGCTGCCAATTTTGGGACCAATTGCAGTATTTAAATAGTCTACAGAGACAGCTGCAACCATAGCAGATGACAGTATTTCAAAGGTGAATTGATAAAAGCATGAGTGACTTCAGCCAAGGAATCCTACCTTATCTGGCACATCCAGCTGCAGCTAAACAAAGGCTGTCCTGGTCATGACCTCCACCTGCTGCCAAGTAGAAGTTGAAAATGCAGAAGAAACCTCAGCTCATGCAAGTACTCCTTCAGAGGACATGAAACCTTGCCTGGTCTAGTTAGAGTTAACATGGAGCATGGTAGTTTCTGGCACTGCATACAAAGACAACTTGACACAAGAACAGTTTTTCCCCAATGCCAACACTCTGCTAAACAAATAATTCCCTCACCACTGTCAAAGTATTCACTAAGGCTGTTTTACTATTACTATTAGTCTTCTCATCATTCCTGTCACCCATCTCCTCCCACTTATGACTGCTGGACTGTAACTTTGTTGCTTGTATCCTTACAATTTATATTGATATTGATTGTTTCCTGATTGCTTATTTATACCCTATGACTGTCATTAAGTGTTGTACCTTATGATTCTTGACGGATGTATCTTGTCTTTTTATGTACACTAAGAGCATATGCACCAAAGACAAATTCCTTGTGTGTCCAATCACACTTGGTCAATAAAGAATTCCACTCAAGTCTAGTCCTAGTCTAGTCTAGTCTAGTCTAAACAGCCACTTCATCTTGTGGGATTCAGCTTGACCGCACTTTGGTGTGGTCTTAGTTCTAACAATTTGTATCAGGTGCAACATCCATAGTTTCTTCTGTTCACCCTGGGCAAATAGCTGTGTCTTGATATCATCAACCTGTTGATACTTCCCTGTTCTTTTGGCATGCTTTGGGATCCCATTCAGGAGCAGTGAGGTGCTTGATCTCTCCTCCCCCATTTACTAATTGGTACTGCCACTACTCCAGTTTCCAAAATCTTCTTAAAATACAGAACACAGAATATGACAAAGCATTTGAAGTACAGTCTGACTAAAATAGGTAAAACAAAATTTGTACTACTAGAAATCTGTAAATCATACTTCTCTTAATGTCAGTCTTATATTTTAATTGTAGTTTGCAGCCACTTCACATTACTGATTTCATACTTAGGTTGCAATAAACTATTATCCATATTCTTTTTCACAAAGACTAAAGTTAGGTATTCCCAATATAACTGAGTGTTTGATTTTTGTTTCCTAAATGAAGAATAACAAAATAAAGTTTGAAGGTACCTTGGAGGTCTTCTAGTTCAACTCCCTGCTCAAGCAGGAAACCCTGCACCGTTTTAGACAAATGGTTGCCCAATCTCTTCTTAAAAACTTCCAGTGTTGGAGTACTGAGCCCCCACATCTTCTGGAGGCAAGTCATTCCACTGATTAATTGTTTTAATTGTCAGGAAATTTCTCCTTAGCTCTAGGTTGATTGTCTCCTTGATTTTTTAAATTTTGTCTTTGTTTCTCTTAAGTATAATTCTGTCACTTTCACCCAACTGATTTATTTAATCAAGATCATTTTTAATTTCACATCTGTATTTTAGGTAATCAGATATCCCACCAAATTTTGGTCCGCATTCTCTCTACCTCTACAAGTTGTTATTAAAAAATAGTGACGAGTAGAAGACTCAGAATTGGACCGTGTGGAGCTCCAGCCAGTACAATCTCCATATGTTGGAGGTATGTTCAAAATGCAACTTTGGTTACTGTCATATGACAATGTTCTATTGTCCCTTTTAAAAAATATATATACATATTAATTTTTAATTAATTAATATATAATGAATATGAATTGCATATGAATATATAACACTAATTTACTCTTTGAAGAATAGTCTTTTTTGCATTTAACAATAAATTTTAATAAATTTTTAATCAACTTATGTCTTGACCACTCATGTGAAGAAACTATAGGCTTTATTAACTAGCCTTGCCCTTAGTTCTTATTTATTAGCTACATATCCCCATTAGGAGCACAGATTTTTACTGTGCAAGAACATTCTATTTTTCTAACTTGTATTCTTCACTACTGGATGGAATTTGGAAGCACAGCATTATTGCCTTTCTTGTGAAATAAACCTTCAAGGAAGAGCTTTCATTCCTATTGGTGGACATTAATACATCTCCCCTATTCTATTAACTATCAGTATTGGTGACTTAATATATTACTTCTAAGACTGATGTGGAAATTCTGAACATGTGTCCAAAGTCAATGTTAGAATAGGGATGGGTAAACAGTGGATAAGCGCTCCTCATTATTTGCTGGATAATTGAACATATGAAAATACAGGCATAATTTTTAGTACATTTTCAATTCTGATATTTAATGTTCTGAACCAGGCGTGTCCAATCTTAACAACTTTAATATTTGTGGAGTTCAATTCCCAGAATTTCCCAGCCAACATGGGAGTAAGTCCACAAGTCTTAAAGTTGCTAAGGTTGGATGTCCCTATTCTAAACTGTTTAAAATCAGGTTTCGTGAACTAATACATGCAAACAAGGTTTAGACTTCAGGACACCCTCTTGCTGCCCCAAAACAAGGGCCATCAGAATAGTAGGTACAAAACAGAGTCATTTTTAATAGTAACTCTGTTTCTGGTTTCTTGTAAAAAGTAAAAACATGGTCAAGAGCTGCCTTTAAACTGAATCATTAAAGCTTTCGTATTTTGGTTTTTGCTTTGTTGGCGTGTTGTTTGCTGGGCTTTAAATTGTTGTTGTTTTCAGTTTGGAGTTTTAATTCAGTTTGTGTTCTATTTGCAATATTTCTATTTGTGAATTTCATTTTTCTAAAGTGCTGTAAGCAGACTTTGGAGTCTTTGATGTTTGTAAGATTAAGAAAAGTGTTTTTAAAAAGGTGCTTTTCAATTTCAGCCTGAAATGGCATTGCGCATCTGCCCTGGGGATTTTGCCATTTCCATCAGCTGGCTGTATCACATCTAAGTCATATTATTGTTGCAGATTTGTAATAAATTAGCAGAAATTCTTACTCTATAAATATGAATTGACATGTTGTGTGTTTATTATCTTGTTGCTCAGTAACCTAAAAAAATCTTCTGAACAGCATTATTTCCTAAGCACTTTTATCTTTTTATTATAGAGCCAAATTTTCACTCTCACAGAGGCTGACATACCTTCTTCTACTTACTTTGCTCTTGAATATGGGAATCGTGTCAAAAATATTTTCTTCTGCTATATAATTTGCAGGCGGATTCTGCCAAAATGTCTGGCTTTAATCTCTAGAAGGAGACATCAGGGTAGGCCAGGGCAAATAACATGAATTTCCTCCTTTAGACTAGTTCTGGCATAAACAACCATTTGACAGGTGATTACTTTGGGTTCTGTGCACCTGATTGTTAACAGCATCAGTGAAGGCTTATTACCTCAATCCTTTTTTTCATTTTGCTCTATCTAGTGTAATTTTTCTACTACAGCTTTTTTTACAGTGTACTTTAAACTTAAAAGATCTATAGAAGATCAGGTGAAGTTTCTCTCTGTAAAATTAAAGCTTGTCTAAATAATTTTACAATATAACTATAGGAATTGCACTAGTGCATATATGTATTATTAGCTAGAATATATTTATTTATCTATTGGGTACATTTATATGGCCACCTGTCTTTTTTTCTGAAAATGGAGTTTATATTCAGGATTCTCAGATTTTCAGGAGGGGAAAAATCGCAATCAAAAATCTCAAATGAAAAATAGCTTTCTATAACATCTACTGTCAGCTGTTGAGCATTTAGAGCAGGGAAGTCACACTGGCGGCCTCAGGCTACACCCACCCCAGCTCTGCGAATGGGGAAGACATCATGAAATGTGACAGTAACATGACACGGCGAGTTTGACACCCATGATTTAGAGAGTATAGAACAAATATTGACTCAAAAACAATATTGGACTGTATTTTCTAGGCTATTATCTTTCTCCTGTGTTAGATTTCAACTCCCAGTCAGTGTTTCATATGGCGATGTTATGCACATAAACTGCTCCTGTGCAGCCTAATTACATTCATAATATATTACTGGAACATCATACAGCTGCATCACCACTCATTTTATTCCCAGGAAATAAATATAAATATATAACTATATTCCCAATGACTACGTTGAAAATGAATAAATGCTCACTGGCTTTTGGTTGTCTAGAAAAGTAATCTTCAGAGATGACTAAGAATAGTCCTGCCGATCATCCCTTTATAATCCAGCATAGTACTTCTCACAGTGGCCAGTCGAATGCCTCTGATGTGCTCAGAAACAGAAATATCTTTATGTGTATGTGTCTATGTATATAAGTATATTCCTCGATTTACAACAGTTCATTTAGTGACTGTTCAAAGTTATAATGGCATTGAAAAAAGTGACGCGACCATTTTTCACAGTTACAACATCTGTAGCATCCCTATGATCATGCGATCAAAATTCAGATGCTTGGCAACTGATTCATACTTATAACCTTGCATCCCAAGGTCATGTGGTCACCTTTTGCAACCTTTTGACAAGCAAAATGAATGGAGAAGCCAGGTTCACTTTTAACTACCGGATTGCTAATTTATGAACTGCAATGATTCACTTAACAACTGTGCCAAGAAAGGTCGTAAAATAGAGCAACAGAACTTAACAACAGAAGTACTGGAAGTTGAGGAGTGAATGTGTGTGTGTGTGTGTGTGTGTGTATATGTGTGCCTGTACACACGCACACATAGCATTGTTCCTCTGTAACTGATATTTTGAATCATGCTTATTCCACAAATCTTTGAAGTATTATGGCTTGCCCTCAAAAATGGATTCTATATCTTTTAAAATAATGCAAGTTAGTAATCAATACCACAATTTTGTAGGTTCAAATATTTTAGGATTCACAGATTTTGTTAAGAAATTCTTCCTTGTTCGTGTTCTGGATTTCTTTCCAATAGGTTTTTATTGAGTTTTGTTCCTTGAGTTTTGAGAAGGTGCATTTATTCAGTTGAACTTAATTATTAGATGTTTCCAATTTTGGACTGTTTATTTTTCTTTTAGCTGAAGATATAAATTTACAGTATAGTTTTCCTTATTCCAATAAATATTTTTCAACTGGGCAAATCTTTTCATGTCTCATGGATGGTATCTATTTTAATTTGTAGTTTTCCATAATCATCTCTGTAGGCTCTTAATTCTATTCCATCATAATAAACTCTGTTCTTTAGCTTTCATTTTTTCAAGGTTTGCAACATTCTTTTCTCATCCCCTCATTTCACCCATAGCATGTCACTTTTGATTAGGCAGTCATAAAGCCGGTTTTCCCAGTTTCTAAAGGGTAAAAGTCAAAAATCAATAATCTGCTGGTCCTCCCTGAGCGCAGTAGCAGTCAGAGGTAAATGAATGATTAAACATGATGAATAACGGTGTAATGGAAGACGCAAAGTAGGGGAAAGTGCTCACTTTAGCCTAAACTCTGAGATTTATTGCTGAGTCCTACAAATAATGGAATCATCAATCTTCCAAGGACTAAAAAAGGCATCCACTATAGTAACTTTCAAAAGCATTGAAAGAAATCTTACCACCTTCTCCTTGATAGTTGTCATTATCTATTGAAAAGGTATTAATTTCCTGTGAAAAGAAGATGTTCATATACTAACATTATTTTTCATAAATAACAGCCATCTTTAGTTAAATTTACTGCTGTTCTAAGTGCTTGTGTCTTACGACAAAAGTTTGATTTCTAAAAAGTGGGATACAAACAATCCATGAACTGACATACATACATTAATGTAATGTAATATTATGTTTATTAATAGTATAATAGTATGGAAGACTAGTGAGAGGGAGAGGTACATTTAAATTAGCAGTTTTTTCACAACTAAAGCAGTACCACATGGCTCTCCATATCTCCCATCTCTACAGAATAATTATGTCCAATATCTAAAATTACCTAGTTGCAACACTGAGTAAATTTATGTGAATAGATGTTTAGAATAAGGAATACATATCACACCTGTTGGAAGACAAGACTACATTTTTTTTGTTCTACTGAAGGTACATAAAGCAAAGACTATAATTAAATATTAGCTTAACATTTGATAAATGAAAAATTAACTTAATGATAGAAATTCTGCTTATTGGTACTACATATTTAATTCTTTGGCTGATCACTTATGAAGGAATCTTAAAAACTGAGAATTAATTAAAAGGGGGGAGATTGCCATTTAAAGGACAGTGTCAAGAAATAAAGACATGAAACTATGTTGTAATTCTGTGTGTGTGTGCGCGCGCGCACACGCATGTGTGCATATATGTAGAGACAGAAAGCACAACGAAGGACTCAATTTCTTCTGAGCTTAAGTAATAAAAATAGTTTGTTCATTCATTCACTCATTCATCATTCATTGTATGCCTGTCATGATCAAGGAAGCTCTTGGTGGCTTATAATACATTACATCTCTAAACAGTATAATAAAATTCCCACAGTATACTAAACAAAAATTATAGATAAAAATCAAAAATAAAAATCAAAACAATGTTATAAAATACTGATAATGCACAGATAAAAATTAATGAATTATAAATAGTCAGTCATTAACTTATAAATAATTACAGAAAAATAATAAAAATAATGGCAATACTTCATATCAAAAGCACTCTGAAATAATTCCATTTATAAATGTCAACAATATGGAAATTGGTAAATTTCCATTAAGAAGTATA